CTTTCTTGTCATTACCCCTGAACAGTGAGAGGGCATCTTCAGAGCATTTACACTGTAGCAGGCAGTACACATAACCTAGAAATGATTCAAGGGGACGGAGACCGTGGCGGATTCATGCACCACCTTACATGAGGGACTGGAGCAGAGTTTGGTATCTCGTGAGTGGAGGCTTGGGGCCAGAACCCCAAGGACGCTGACAGACAACTGTACTTATTTGAGGGTCACAGCCTCTCTAGGCTGTCAGCTGAGGAGCTGGGCCTGCAGTTGTCACCCTCTGGCAGGCCTGTGTTTTTCACACTGCTGCCCCTATGCTCCCCGACAGGCTCACCCCATCACAACCTAAATGTACGTTTCCTGTCCTTAACAGATGTTTGAAAAGGCCCTGGTATCAGTGACCCTGTCCCAAGTAGGAGGAGCCCAGGAACCTTGGTAGGACCAGGCAGGCACTCTCAGATTCTCAGAACCCCTGCCTGCCCTTGGGAAAGCCACTTGGACATTGGCAAGAGATGCTGTGTTTTTAGCTGTGGATCTCAGCAGCCAGCAGGGCACCGTGATTCACTATGTCACCCACTAGGAAAGGAACCAGGGCCTTCTGCAGGTGGGAGAGAATCTGGTTGCAAAGCCAGATGTGGTGCTGTGGTGCTGGGCAAACAAACCAACTTCTCAGATCTGGCTGAGCCCACACCAGGCCAAGCTACAGCCAGCAGGCCCTGTCCAGGACCGGCCTTCCCACTCTGTGGCAAGTCTTTGCTTACAAAAGCCAGCCCTTCAGGGCTTCTGGTGCCCACAGGCAGTTCAAACAGAACTGGCTGTCAACATCTGATCTTTAGGAACGTGCTGTTTGTATCCACAACACCCTGCCACTCTCACTTCTCCAGTGACTGCAGCTCAACTTCCAGTGACAATACGGAATGACAGCCATGCTAGTGAGCCCTTCATCAGCACTCCCAGGGAAAAACAGCACTCTACCATTGTTCATTTACTTAGGACAGCCGTGGCAAGCGGGGACACTGTGATCTCCATCTCACAGATCAAGAAACAACCTGAGCAAAGTGATATCCAAGAGGAAAGGCTTGAGTTTGGATTTTTTTTGGGGGTGGGGAAGGTAGCGGGGAGCCATTAGAGATAAGGAAGAGTCCCTGGAACAGAACTGCTGTTCAAAACCTGTTCAACCCCCACAGGAGCTGGACGCTCCCCTCTCTTTGTCCTGTCTCTCTGTGCTTCCTGGGGCAGAAGTCTGCACTGCTCCTCCACACCCTGGCACAGCTACCACCAAGGGAAAGTTCAGAACAGTTGTGATTTTCTGACTGTCTGGGGCTGCAAAGCCCCCTAGCTTCCTGCAGCCCAGAAGCGGGGGTCTGAGACCTGGGGCAATGACCCACAAGCATCCCAAGTGAGGACTTGCTACTTGGCCTCCTGGTTTAGGAAGCCTTCACTGCTGAGGCTCCCAGAAGGGAAGGAAGGAGAATAGAGACCAGCCAAGTTCCAGTGCACCCCTTCTCAGGCCTCCAGTGAAAGCCAGTGGTCAAGTGTTTACCACCCTATCTCCAGGGGGAGGAGGTGTCCAGAGCCAACAGTCTGCCCATAAAACAGGTTCTCTCCTGCTGGCCATGGGATGTTCCCAGCCCCTAGACATACAGGTCCAGGGCTCCAGCAGGGCCTGCTCATGTCCCTCTAGTACCTTCTCAACTCAGACCAGAAGAAACCACCTGGTCTGTCAAATACAGAGGGAGGACAGCTAGAGGGTGGCAGCTCCCAATTCCTTCCTAAATGTAGTGCCCAGAAACAAGCCCCAGCCTCAGGGAGAAACTACTCTGCAACACAACACCGAAGGTGAAGAAGAGGACTTTTGGACTGATCACTGGCCTTGCCCACTTCCTGTGGTGCCGGGCAAACAAACCAACTTCCCTAAGCCCTACAGGCAGAGTGAGCACTTAGCAAACAGACCGGCTAGCTTTCTGCAACAGTCTCCTGTTTCACTGTCCCCACACCAGCCGCCGCAGTCCTTTCTAAAGGGAGAACACAAGCCCTCCAGGACTGATCCCAGTAGACTCCTCAGGGCTCCCCAGCACCTCCTCAAGTCCAAGCTCAGGCTCCCAGGCCTCGCTTGTGTCCAGCTTTGCTTCCTCTTTGCCTATTCTAATGTTATAATCAAACACAAATTTCATATCTTTGGGCCCCTGCTCAAGCTGTCCCCAGAATTTCTGCTCAGCGCTCCCAACAGATGGAGTCCTCTCCTCTAGGAAGCCACCCCACTGGGTCTTGGTTTCCCTGTCCTTCACGGCAGACCTCTGTTCACGTTAGAAATCCTGACATGCCCTGATTCCTTCGCATGTCCAAGGTTCCTCCCCACTCACTTCTCACCAAGAGCCTCCCTCCAGGTCACACAGCTTCCTCTCTGCTCAGGAGCTTCCCATGAATGACAAATCCAGTTCTTCCTAACAACTGACAATTTTGCTTTACTAGCACTTGGGATGTGTTAATCTTGCCTTCCCCACCAGGTGACAAGTGTCCCAGGGGCTAACAGATGCTCCCTGCAAACACCACCGAACTGTACACTCATCTCTGTGCTGAAGGGACCAGACACCGAGAGCTACTAGGAAAACTACTGCTGAAAACTGAGCTCTTGGCCCCACCCCCAAATGCTGCACTTGAACTTCTCCCCTTTGGACGAAGAATACCCAGCCTTAATAAAACATTCCTCAACTAACCATACAACCCATCAGACCGGATGTTTCTGTATGTCAGACAATTCAGCCACATTCTTCTAATTCTTTTGCTAAACATTATTCAACCTCAAGTGGTTTACCAGGGCAAAGTAGTACACACCTGTAATCCTAGCTCTGGGGAGTCTAAAGCAGGAGGATCAAAAATACCAGGTCAACTTGGGCTATATAGTGAGACCCTAGATGAAGAAAACAAAACTGAAACCAAAACCAAACAAAAACAAGGGGGTTGGGCTGGGATGTAGCTCGGTGGTACAGCGCTTGCCTAGCATGCGTGAGGCCCTGGGTTCGATCCCAGCACCAAAAAAGAAAAGACAAAAAAAAAAAAAACCTCTCCCCAAAAACAAGGGGGTGAGCTCCATCTCCTCTCCTGGAATGATCCCTCTCCTTCATTTCTTACCAACTTCTGCCAAGCTCCTCTTTTTCATCTCTCTCTCTCTCATACTAGGGTTTGAACTCAGGGCCTCATGCTTGCTAAGCAGGTGCTCTACCACTTGAGCCACTCCACCAGCCCTTTTTTTATTTTTCATTTTATTTATTGGTGGAACTGGAGTTTGAACTCAGGGTTTCACACTTGCAAAGCAGGTGCTCTATCACTTGAGCTGCACCTCCAGTCCTCTGCCAGGCTCCTAACACAGGCTCTTCCAATTCCCAGGACCTTCTCCCCAGCCCTTTCCAGATTTCTGGTCTGCTCTCTCCATCCTTTCATCTTCCCATCTTTGCCTGTAAGGTTCCTGACTTTACACCTCAGCCTAACACAGTTCTTCTGCTCACCAACCCCCCACCCCAGTCCCTTTCCCAGGCCTCCTTGGTCTCTATAGCTTCCACTCCAGGCCTCCTCAGTCTCTATGGCCTCCACTCAACCTTTTCAGGAGCCTCCCTTACCAGTGTCCTCTCCTAATTGTCCCCATCTCCCTGCTCCTCTTTCCCCAACCCCTCAAGGCCCAGAGCCCTCTCCTATTCCCTTTCGGCTCCTTTCTCCCAACCATGCTCAGGCTTCCCAGTCTCTCCCTCTTGACCCCTTCCAGGCCCCTCCCATCTAGGTATCCATCATCTTGTTACTTGCTCCAAATCTGTTTCCGTCCCACTAGCTTTAACCAAATGCCAGGCTCAATGCTAAGCACTTCACACATCTTTGACACTCAAAGCAAACCTCTGAAGTTGGTTTTACCAATGATCAGGAAGTGGCAAAACTACATTTCTTTTCTTTCTTTTTTGTTTTTGTTTTGGAGACAGCTTCTGGCTATGTATCCCATGCCAGCCTAGAACTCACTAGGTAACACAGGCTGGCCCTAAACTCTCAATCCTCTTGCCTCAGCCTCCCAAGTGCTGGGATTCAAGGTATGCTGCACCACACCCAGTGGGGAGGAAGTGGCAGAGCCACATTTCAAATTCGAGATTTGATTCTCCTAAGCTACTAAGATTCCTCAAAGGATGGTCAACTTTTATGAGCTGACATGAACTTTATGGTAAATGCTTGCTACCTCGTAGGTGTTAAGGTCTGTCTCCCAGCTTGCCTCAAAGCCTCTTCTAAAGCACATCACTGTCCTCTCCTTTAGGCCCTCCAGACTTGAGGACCAACAGCAGCCTCGGACTCCCTTTGAGTTCTCTCAGTTGCCTCATCTCCCCCTTTTCACCCTCCATGCCCTTGGCCAGCACCATCATTCCCAACCCATCATCTCCACCTCTCAGCCAGGCCTCTACCGCTCTACCGTCTAACTCCATTACCCCGAGTCCTCCACTCACATCTCCTTCAACTAGTCACTAGTAGTCACCCTTCTCCTCTGCCCTCATCCCCACCGCCCAGAGCCCATAAAAATCCACTGCCACGGGCCTGGGAAGGTAGGTCCCTTGAGCAGGTATCCTCAGTCCCAGCCCCAATATGTCCTAAGTCCTTCAAAACGACTCACCTGGCGTTCCAAAAGCCTGACGCTGGCTACTCGCCCATGCTCCTTAAGTCCCCTCGGGCCGGCCCCCTTCAAGGCCTCGGATCATATTCCCCAGGCCCTGTTCTGCGGCCCTGGAACCCCTTCGCCGCCTCAAGATGGTGTCACCTGGCCTGTGTGTCTTCAGTCCAGGTCGTTCCCGCCGCCTCAGGCGTTCTGTCCTCCAGGCGCTCATCCTGTGTCCCTCCCGCTGGCTTAGACTACCTTACCGGGGAACTCCCACGACCCGTCAGGGAGCCCGAACTCTTGGTGCCTAAGCCCACAAACTCAGGTATGACTCCTTCGTCCTCTCAGCCCAGGTCTCGGCTGACTCCCGCCCGGCTCTTACCCAAAGAGGCCGGAGAAGAAGGACTGGGAGTTCTTCACTTTGCGCTCCGCTTCGGCCAGCAGCGCCATCGCCTCCGCTTCCTTCCCGGAGTTGTCCATGACGGCTGCAAAGGTTCTCAGCTAACCACCCGACCCGGTCACTGGGAGGTCTCAGCCGCGGCCCAGGGGTACACAGGCCAGGGGAGCTAAGCTGCCTGCGTTGACGTCGCACAGGCGCGCGCCTCCCCCGGCCCGGCCCACGTGACTCGCGCCGGCCAACGAGAGGCTTCGTAGTGCGGCGCGCGCCCCCGACGCCCACGTCCCCACCAGCCACTGCACACGACCCGGGACTTGCGCCCTCCAATCGGCGTCTCGGGACCTCCGCGCATGAGCAAACATCATCGAAGGGCACCCTGCTAGCTTCCTGGGCTCTCCACGTGATGCTGTGTAAGCCAATCGTAGGCCCTACCGCCAAGAACCCGCCCCTCAAATGCTAGCGCTGATTATTCTCCACCAATCAACAGGAACCCTCGGTTGGGCCCGTCCCGCCCTGCGGAACTTGGACACCAGTCAGCTGACACTGACGCTCACATGACAGCTAGCCGCTGCCTCTTGGGTTTCACAGCTCTTCAGTGTAGTTCCGCCTCCGCGGCTTTATATTACGTCATTGTTTTTACATTTGGAAAGCCCTCTGTGATAAAAAGGAGACTGTTCGACTTTTGCTTGCGCCCTCTGCCGACCTGTGCCGAAACTGGCTTGGGGAGGACAATGAAGTAGTTGAAAGACCTGGGTGGGGAGACACCCACTTAAAAAGTTTAAGCTACTGGAGTGTCTCAACCGGCAGAGTGCCTGCCTAGAACGCGTGATGCCCTGAGTTCAAACACTAGTACTATAAGAAAAAAATCAGGTTCCAATATACCTAGTGTCCAGATCTAGGAACCAGGGTTCCTAGGAGAAATGGTTGAGGCTAGGACTGGGCAGGACATTATGCAAGATGAGTCTGGAGCATTTTGCAGCGCCGGAAAGGCAATATTACACACACACTGCCACGGATATGTCAAAGGGGCATAGGACCCACGGAAAGAGCTCCCAGTGGCAAAGCTGAAACAATTTGAGCAACGAAGTAAATTAGTTTTGGATTATAATCCAAAGCATAAAATGTCCATGTGTTCATGCTGATACAAACAACTATATATTAAGCATACAAATACATGGGGTAGAAAAACAGTGCAGAAGAATTCCGAGTAATTTTTGTGGATACTCTGCCCTTAAGAAAGTGAAGCACATAGCTGGGCACGGATAGCTCATGCCTGTAACCCTAGCTACTCAGGAGCAGAGATCAGAAGGATCACAGTTCAAAGCCAGGCTAGGCAAATAGTATGCCAGACCCTATCTGGAAAAAACCCATCACAGAAAAAGGGCTGGTGGAGTGGCTCAAGGTGTAGGCCCCGAGTACAAACCCCAGTACTCAAAAAATAAATAAATAAATAAATAAAAATAAATAAAAAAATAGCAAAGAAAGTGGACCACAGGCGGAGTGCCTCAAGAGGTAGAGCACCTGCCTAGTGAGTATGAGGCCCTGAGTTCAATTGCCAGTACCACAAAAAAATAAAAATAAAAAGAGGGCATATAATAAAGCCTCAATAAACGCAGCCATTTACTGTAATTTTAATGTTTTTATGGCATTTAACCCAGGCCTCAAGCATACTAGGCAAGCCCTCTACCACTTGAGCCACGCCTCCAGCCCTTTTGTTTATATTTTGCTTTTGAGACAGGGTCTCACTGGCTGGCTTTGAACTCTAGATCCTCCTGCCTCCACTTTCTGAGACTGGGATTACAGGCACACACCACCATGCCTGACTTCTCTTCTACATTAAATACTTTCTAACCCACTCTCTTATGGTTGCCACTGTATTCTAAGCAGAGAGCAGATGGGGACGATCCTGGGTCACCACAAGCAGTTTTAGTTCTGTGCACTTCCATAAAAGCTTCCATTTGTTTAAAGCTATTAAATTTCAGAGTAACTTGTTATGTAGCAGCAGGTAACCAATACAACCCCAGTCCAAAGCCAGGCTTCCATTGCTAGAGTCACAGCACTGAGTGACCTAGGGTGGATCCCAAACAGGCTCAGCACTGGAGTGCCGCTAAGCAGCAGTGCCCGGTCACATGATGTGCCTCACATTTCTCAAGTAACAGCAATGGTGTCCATCCCATTCTACAGATGGAGAAAACTGAGGCTCAAAAAGGAAAGTGACTTGCATAGGCCACGATGAAGGAAGAGGAGCCAGGGTCCAAATTCAGGTTCATGGGATGTCTGAGCCAATTCTCCTAATCAGCACGTCCCAATTGCTTCAGACTCAACCTCTGCCTCCCTCCTCTCCTGCTCAGTCTTTAAGACTTCACTGCAATGAAGTCTTTTTGTGATGCCTTTTTTTTCTTTTTCTTTTTTGTAGTGCTGGGGATGAGGCCCCAGGACCCTGGGAGGGAGGTGGAGCTTTCCCTGCCCTCTGCATTTTGGAGTTAGTGCAGAAGTAGCTGGCTATTCTTGCCTGTGCTGCAGCCAAGGTCCTTCTGTTGCTGGCCACCAGGGTCCTTCATTTCACAGCTGAACTGTTAGAGCCACAGACCATCCTCATGGCTTAACCTAACCCACCCTTCTGTTATGATGGCCCAAAGCACACCCACTGTCACAATCTAGCTACCTTGTTTGCTTACTTATCACTGCCACAGTCCTGCTCCTAAAGCTACAGCTGCATGAGGAAAGTGACCTTGTTCCTCCTACTTTCCTGCATCCCTGATGGGAACTGGGACACGGTCAGTCATCATGCTGAATGACTGCCTGGATGCCTATACCCAGCTCTCCCCCAGTCCTCCAGGGCAGGCGCGAAGGGCTCACCTCCTGGCCCTAGCAGGGGGCTGCCAATCGCTGGGAAGCTTCTGTGGGGCTGATGGGCTGGGGAGTCAGAAGTCAGCTGCTCAAGAACCCAATTTAATAAGATTTACAAGTAGACACGTACAAAACACACCTAACAATGTACAAGTCACCGCAAGATGAGGGACTGGCATGTAATACAGAGACCCCACCCAGGGTGGGCCAATGTGCTGTGCTGTGATCCCAGGTATTGTTTCCTGGTGCTCCACGTCTTGGCCTCACTGACCAGTGGAACAGACCCACACCTGCAGCTAAGATTGGAGAGCTATCCAGACCTGACCTTTCCCTCCCCCAGGAAATGTGGGACAAAAAGAGGGGCAGAGACTATCAACCTGGAGAGGATGGAGTAATAGGGACTTCAGAGCTGTCTCATGATGCCTTCTCTGCCTGTTCACAGTCAAATGCCCTCCAGGTTTGCTAGCAAAGCTGGCCAGGGGGACAAGGAGGATAGGAGTAAGGGTAGAAGGAGCCAAAACACCCCCAGAGAGGCCCAGGGAGGTGGGGACAGGGCTGGAGCCCCCCAGACTAGCTGCCAGCAGGGAGTCACCACTGCAGGGGACCGATGTCAGCCGCAAGCTCCTCTTCCTCCTCCTCCTCCTCCTCCTTTAGTGGAAAGGGCTTCACAGGCCACTTGACCCTGACGACAGGCTCCACATGCTCCTGAAGGCGGTGCCGTTTCATGTGGGCATTCCGACTCTTGATCTTGTCGAACACCCTGAAGAGTCAGAGGATACAGGTCGGAACAGGAAGGAGGCGGTGGACAAGGGACAGACTGCAGGTCCAGGCTAGGAAGGGCCAGCTACCTTTCACACTCTCTGCATGGAAAAACATCCTGGCCCTCCACACCCCCTGGCAGCTCAGGGGTCCGATTTGGGCCCGAGCTTGGGCTGGGACTGAGGATGGATTCTCTCCTGAAGCTCTTGGTCTTTATCTTTAACTCAGGAGTTGGACGGTGGCTGGGTCGCTCACGAGGGCTGCAAGTGACCTACAGAGAGGGCAAAACACCATCAGGGCACTGACCTTGAACCCTTGTTGGGAGGATGGATTGGGGACACAGGTCCTCTGCAGGGTGACTTTCCCTTAGGAGTGCCTCCCCCGCCCTCCAACTGCGGTGGCAGGTGGCAGGTGGTGTCTGGACAAGAGATACACTCCAGATCCCTCCCTCATGGTCCGCTACCTTTTCTTCTGTCCTCTCTACCTCATCCAGCTCTCTCCTGACCCTCTTTTCTAGCCCTGGGGCTCGGCCGCAGTCAAACTTGATCATTTTTTTCCAGATGTAATAATACTCAACACACTGTGCTACAGTCTTTGTCTGGATCTAGTGGAAGAAAACAGAAGCAGGCTGTGGACAGAGCCTCGCAGTCCCCCAAGTGTGACCCAACCCCCCTGGCAGTCACCACCTGGGAAAGCCTTTCTAAAACACTTCTCCCCTGGCTTGGCCGGCCCCTCACTGCACAGGCAGAGGGTCACAAAGTCCTCCCAGGTGATGACAAGGTCCAAAGCAAAGCCATATGGTAGCCACCAACATCTAAGCCCAGCTCACTATGAGCAGCAATCCCAGCCAGCCCAGGATTCTTCCCTATAAAAGACCCACAGGCAAGGATGCTCACTGTGATGTCATGACAACTGCCATACCTACCACCAGCATTACTTAAAGCCGAGTGCCCTCACTCCATGGAATGCCATGCAGCTATCCCAACTAGATAGGGTCCACATACAACAGGATGTGGTTTGAATCGAGTGTACTCAGTCCCCACCATTTATTTGCTCTTCCCTAAGGATAGATCTTGTTAAAGGTGACTTCTGGAGCCAGGCATGGTAGCCATGCCTGTGATCCCAGCAGATGGAGGCAGGACAGTTTTTTGTTGTTTTTTTTTCTCCCCCAGCACTGGGGCTTGAACTCAGGGCCTACACCTTGAGCAACTCCACCAGCCCTTTTTTGTGAAGAGTTTTTTCAAGATAGGGTTCCAAATTATTTGTCCAGGCTGGCTTTGAACCATGATCTTTCTGATCTCTGCCTCCTGAGTAACTAGGATTACAGGTGTGAGGCACTGGTACCCGGCTGAGGCAGGACAGTTTTGAGAGTTCAAGGTCAGCCTACGCTATACAAAGAGCAAGCTCTGTCTCTATACAGACAGAGAAACAAAATGGAGGGCTAGGGTTATAGCTTAGTGGTAGAACACATGCTTAGCATGCTTGAGGCCCCAGCAGAAAAAAGTTTAACTGCTCTGGAAAGAAAACTTCTCAGGAAATTCAACTGGTTAGTGAATTCACTCCAAAAATAGTTTCTCCCTAATATGTGACTTTGAAGTGGAAGGTTCCATCGTACTGTCAAAACTGATGTATACTGATTGTTACAAAAATCTCTGCAATTAAGTCATCGAATTTTATAAGGCAATAACACTGAAGGATCAGATTGTGCTCAGAGTCAGAACCTCTCTCCTCTTTCCATACTCCCCCAGTGTGTGGTAGAAAGATAGAAAATGTAATTGAAAATGTGGCTTTTTTCCATGATACCCATTTTTGTGGTGAGAATTTTTTAAATTATATTTTTGTTTAAGTTTCAGTAAATGTTATCTGTTTATAAATTTAAATAAAATTTTATGTTTTGTGAGCTCTAAAAAAATAGCTTCTCCACATAAACTTGTTACAGCTTTACGTGTGCATAAACTATGAGTCAAAACAGTACATCCTCTACCTAAGCAACATCACCAAGCAAAAAGAAAATAAAGTGGGACTTACTCTGAACAAGATGGAACAACAGAAACCAGAAATACACTCGTATCCCAAACAATGAAACAGCCAATCTATATGAACAATGGTGGGTGAGACCCCAACTCTCTCAGTCAACAAAGGACAGTGAAGCCTGGAAGGGGCTTGTACATGAATGTCCACAACAGCCTAGTTTATAATCGTCTCTAGCTAGAAACCACTCAGATGTTCATCATTTAGCAAATGAGTACACAAACTGTGGTATGAATGTGCAATGGATGACTGAACTATTAATACACGCCAACAAGAGTGAACCTCAAGATTATGCTGAGTATAAGCAGCTGGAAGCTGAGCACATGCTACATGACTATTCCATTGATAAAAAAAAACTCTAGAAAGTGTAACAGATTTATAGTGATAGAAAGCAGATCAGGGGCTGACATGGGACAGGGAGGGGCATGGGGGATGGGGGATAGATTGGCAGGGGCAAGAGGAAAAGTTTAGGGGCCATGGATATGTTTATTATCTTATTTTGTGGGGCTGAGGTTTGCAATCAGGCTTTTGCACTTGCAAGGCAGGCGCTCTACTGCTTGAGCCATACCTCCCAGTCCATTTTGCTCTGGTTATTTTTGGAGATGGGGTCTTGAGAACTATTTGCCTGGGTTGGCCTCAAACCTCAATCCTACTGATCTCAGGCTCCCAAGTAGCTGGGATTACAGGTGTGAGCTGCTGGTGCCTGTCATGTTCATTATCTTGGTTGTGGTGAAGTGTCACAGGCACATAAATCCATCAAAATTGATGACATTTTGCACTTGAATTATGTTTAATTTTGTGTACATCAACTTTTTAAAAGCAGCAGTATATTCTATGTACTGTGATGCTTTTTAAAGTATATGCACATTATATATGGAGCTCTGAACAGACAGAAATACTTGTGAGCACCCAGCCAGAGCTCCCAGAGTTTATAAAGGACAGAGCAGGCTAGAGGATTTGTTTTAAGCACATAACGCATGTCTGTACGGTCTGACTTTCTGAGATGATAAACTGTTTCCGATTTGAGTGGAGTGTGGCCACAGGCAGGGGAAGGCTGGCTGGGGTCCTGGACCCTGAGGCCCTTCCACTCGGTAGGGCAGCTGCATGGTCTGTCCCTGCCCTCCTTCACTTACCATCTTGTGTATCAGGTAAAAGTCCTTTTTGTGGGCACAGAATGCCTTCTTAAAGAGCCTCTTCTCCATGGGGGTCCAGATGTCTGACCCTGCCAGAGAACACAGCCAAAAGGGGAGGACATTTGTCCCTGTGGGAGCCTAGCCAGAGCTGAACTGCAGACCATCTTCTCATTAACGCCTCCATTACCAAGTACCAGCTGTATGATCTCATACAATCCTCACAAAACCCCACAACGGTGCATTACTACCCCTACTCTACAGATGTGGCAACTGAGGAGTCCATGCCTAGCTAAGGGCAGGTAGACCGCAGGCTGCCGGAATCCAGGGCTGGTGTGCTCATCCCTTGGACCTGAGTCATCTTCCCTGCTCCCTAGCAGGAACAGCCCTATCTCAGGTGGGAAGAGCCTTGAGGGAGCCATTGGGCAAAGAGGAAGACAGGACCTAGTGAGCAGAAAGCAGTGCCCGCTGAGTCACCCTGGATAGGACAGGCCCTTCTAGAAGGGCCAGCAAAGGCCCCAAGGCAGAGCTTGCCATTGGACCTGACTTGTTGGCAGGATTCTCAGCCAGGCCCAAGAATCCCAACAGCCTTTCCACAATCACCTGTGTAGCGATAGTCAGCCAGCGGGTGCGTGTGTGGCTTCTGGGGTCCTCTGAGTAAGAGAGTCTCCAGGGCAACCTAGAAGGGGAGCAGGTGCAGGCCACTCTCAGAGGCTAGGATTGTAAGGCAGAGAAGCACCTCCATTCTCTCCTTCACATAAGAAACACATCCCAAAGTCTCTCCCAACTCCAGGAGTACTCAAAGTGCTTGGCCCCTGGGCCAGTGCGCAGACTGTGGAGGCACACCTGTGAGTGAAGCTACCATAGTAGTATGACTTCCTCTGTGGAGGACACCATGTGTGGCTTTATTCTGGCACCAGCACCCAACTCCACCAGGGACTGGCATTTAGAGGAGCCCTGCTCTGGTCCCACACCCCATCTGATTTCTCCAGAGCACTCAATTGTTAGCCAACAAGCTTTAAAAATATAGTTCCTGGTTTGTCTCCCTTAAAACATAATTCCCATGAGCACAGGGATTTGCCTCAGTCACTAGTCAGGACCAGATATGTAATTTATGAAAATGGGCACCCCTGTTCGAGAAGTGTGAAGATTCTCAAGAATTCAGTAAGAGAGCATTAAACCAAGCACAGAGCCCTCAGCCTGCTGGCCTCAATGCGCAACTGTGCCACCCACTCAATACCGATGGCTGCTCTGGTGAGGGCCCACTGTACACACAGCACTGCCCTCTCAGCCTGGCAGAATACAAGACCAATGGAGAGGTAAGTTTTAGGTCCTTAACAGGGTGATGTGACTCTTCCTCGTCCCCTCTTCAGAGCTGGAATTTTAATTTATTTTTCTAAGCCTCAGAACTATGAGGAGAATGCATGGAGTAGGCAGAGGATTTGTGTTGTCTTGGAGGTTTTTATACATGGCCTTTAACACAAGGATGAAGCTGTGTGTAGTGGGGCACACCTATAATTCCAGCACTCTAGGGGCTGAGGCAGGAAGATCTCAAGTTCCAGACTAGTGTGGTCTACGTAGTAAGACACTGTCAAACAAAACAGAACAACAAATACCAAAAGACAACCAAAGGCTAAAATTCAGTAGATAAATCAGATGAGCACAGGGCACAGCTGGGTCCACTGCAACCTCCCCCCTCCCCACCCCACCCCCTGACCCTATTCATCTTGGAGGATCAGTAACTGATAGGCCAATCCTACAGCAGAGTGTCCTTGACAGTCAACTCCTGCCCCACCTCACCTCAACGCTGCCCTGGGCTTCGTGTAGGCAGTGCAGAGTGAGCTCCAGGTTGGTGCCCCCTCCTGGCATGACACTGGAGCATGCCACATTGCAGAGCTCCGTCACTGTGGTTCCAGTTATGGGTGAGCAGTGAAGCCAGGATCAGGAAGAAGAGACGAGGGTGTCAGGAGGCTGGGAGAAAGCCCTCCGACACCACACACATTCCCTTCCTTGCACGACTCCATGGAAGTCCTGGCCGGGCACCCACTCCTGACAGTCTGACCAGCCCCAGTTGCAGGGTGAAAGTTGGGGCACAATACAGCCTGGGCAGGAGCAATGGTGGGCCTGGCTACCCTCTCCACCTTCTGCCCAGAACACTGCTTCTTGGTGGGGCAAAAACCTGGGGGAAAGGGACCTCCCTGGAGCTGGAGGGGGAAGGAGGGCTTGGGAATTTGACCCCAAAGCCTCAGCCACCTCTGTCCTGTGTCTCCGGGTTGGTCATCACGTCTCCCCAAGGCTTCCAGACCAGAGAAGCCATATGCTCATCCACTCCAGCCAGCGACCTCTCCTGCAGCTCGGGGATCTCAGCCTGAAACCGGCTTCCTATGTTGATGTGTCTGAAACAAGGCCGCACATAAAGACAAGTGAAACAAGCAAAGGTGACTAAGACATGTAACAAGACAGAAATGTGCTGTGGGCTCTGCTCTCAGCAACAGTCTGCTCTGTGGAAATGGCCTTCATCTCTCAGGCAAAATCTATTAGCCCCCCTGACAGATGCAGGCACTTCAGCAAGATATCTGGCGACATTTCCTTCTTCTTCTCTCTTTCCCTCAGACTTCTGGCCTGGGGTATCTCTCTTGGGTTCTAGGACAGGAAAGTGCATTATGAGACCTGGCCACATCTGTCCAGCCACGTGCCATAGATACTTCCGAGTAGTGCACTAACCATCACCAACTCTGCCTCGACCCCCAAAGTCCAAGGCATTTGCCCAGCTGTGTCTGCCTGGACAGAAGGAGTAACGGGGAACTTCCTACTGTTTCCAGGGAGCCTCTGCAATCAGACCTGACCTCCCTGTGAAGGAGTCCTTGGGAGGAAGTGAACTGGACTGCATGGCAGATAAAAGCACCCTTACTTGGAAGGACTCTTGGGTTCTGAGTGTTCCAACTCACGGTTCAATGCTGATCTTAGTGTCGTCCTTCACCACACAGATGCCAAAAGAGCCATCCACTTGATCTAGAAAACATACAGTGAAAAGCCTCAAGAAGTCTGACCAGACATGACCCACAGGGTTCATTGGCCTGCTTTTGTAGACACAGCTGAAAACAGGCTGATAAGGTCCCATGGGAGGGGAAGGACTTCTGCAAAAGCAGGGGAAGGAACTCAGCAAACAACAAACTAATGACAATCACACACTGTTATTAAAACAATAGTTAAGGTCTCTGGAAATTGTCCTAGGGGAACAGTGTTTGGAGAAATATTTACTCAAGAAAACTGATCAACTCTTGATAAGAGCAAGGATCTGTGGCACCTGAGCCAAGCATAGCCCCCTCCCCACCCATCTCCTGTAACCACAGCCACATGCACAGGGCTCCATCCAATTAGGTGCAGCTGGGACAGGGCTCACACAGCTCCCATGCTTAAAGGTATGAAAGGAAGGCAGAAGGACAATTTCTCAGCAAAGAATACCATTAAGAGATAGATACTATTTTACAAATGGAAATTCTAGGGTTAAAAAGTGAAGTAACAAAACTGGAGCTCAAGAGGTTTGAGGAGGCAGAAGGAAATTATCAGCAAACTTGAAGACACATCAGCAGAGATTATGGTCTGAAGAACACAGAAAAGGGAGTGAAGGAAAGCGAAGAGGGCCCAGAGACCATTAAATCCCAACCACATGTGATGAAGTTGCCAGATGAAGAGGAAACGGGCAGAAAAATATTTAAGGAAATAATGATAGAAAACCTCCCAAATTTGATGGAAAACAATACACACACCCAAGAAACTATAAACTCCAAATAGGAGACCTACATCCAGGCAACATGTTGAAAGTCAAAGATAAAGATAAAGCCAGGCACAGGTGGCTCACGCCTATAATCCTAGCTACTCAGGAGGCAGAGATCAGGAGGATTGAAATTCAAATCCATACTGGGCAAATAGTTCGTGAGACCCTATCTCAAAAAAAAAAAAAAAAAAAACCCCAAAAAACCCCACAAACCTATCATGAAAAAGGACTGCTGAAGTGGCTCAAAAAGTAGGCCCTGAATTCAAACCCCAGAACCACACACACAAAAAAAGATAAAAGTCTCAAAAGCAAAATGAGAAAACAAAAACAAAAACCTCATTACATTCAAGGGCGCTCTGATAAGATTAACAGGTAACTTCTCACCAGAAGCATAGATGGTCAGAAGGTAGTGGGAGGATATACTCTATGTGCTCGAAAGAAATACCTGTGGGTAAAAGCACCTGCCTAGCAAGCATGAGGCTCTGCATTCAAACCCCACTCCCACCAAAAAAAATTATAAAAGAAATAACTGTTAACCAAGAGTCATATATCCAGTAATGAAAGGAAGGCTAGTGTGTGACTCAGTGGTAGAATACCTGTCTAGCAAGCACAAGGCCCTGAGTTCAACACCCACTAATGCAACAAGGAAAAAGTAAAAATAAAATAAAAACATTCCTGGGTTAAAAAATTGAGAACATCTGTTGCTAGCAAAGTTGGCTTATAGAAAATATCAAAGATAGAACATTATTCACCTCTAGAAAGAAAGAAATCACTGATACATGCTGCAGCACAGATGAAACCTGAATACTTGATACTGAGTGAAGGACACCAGAGACAACTAACACACATGTATGATCCCACTTCCATGAAATCTCCAGTCACCAAATCTATAGAGACAGGCCTAGACCTGGGTGAGAGGACAGGAGATGAGTGACTGCTGAGCAAGGAATTTCCATCTGGGGTGAGGAAAATGTCTGAAAAGCAACTGTAGCGATGTTGCCCAGCTCTGTGTGTATACAGAACCACTCCATTACACATTTTAAAGTGATGAGTCGTGTAGTATGCGAATTGTGTCTCATTAAAGCTGCTTTCTTTTTGGAGGTACTGGAGTTTGAATTCAGGGCACTGTGACTGACAGACAAGCACTCTACCACTTCAGCCACACCCCAGCCCTAAAGCTACTATGTTTAAAAAGAAATACTAAGGATAGTTCTTCAGGCTGAAAGCAGATTACACCAGAGTAATTTGGACTCCCCCTCCCCAACACACACAAATAGAGTGCTGGTAAAGGTAACTATGTAGCAGTTACAAAATAATTGCATTATTTCACTTCTGTTCCTAAGTAACTCAAAGACCAACTCCATAAAACAGCATGTGCTAGGAACCTCTAATATCTAGAAATACAATGTAGTTACAATGGCCAAAGGCCAACTGGCTACACAGGGCAGCCAAGCTGTCCCAGGATAAAGCAGAATATCTGATGGCGACTGGCCCCTGGACTGAACAAAGGGATGAAGAATAGCGACATAACAAACCCCACAAATAGCACTTGCTCTCCTTTGTCCTCTCAGGATTTCTGCATGACAAAACTAAACAAGGTGATAATTATGACAGCATGCAAGTGTGTCTACTGACCTATGTGTCTATCCATTTATAAAACAACAGTGATACAAAAAAATGCATCAGAGGGAATAGTTACAAAGGAGCAGGGTTTCTATATTTCATTATAATTGAGTTAGTACCGATCTGAACAGACTCTGGTAAGATGTATACTGTAAGACTTATAGCCACCACTAAGAAATGAATAAGCCAAGGATGAAAAGGAACTAAAGGAATTAAAATGTTACACCAGAAATATTTACTTAATGCAAAAGAGAGGAGGAGCAGAAAGGAAAAAAGACACAAGATATACAGAGAATAAAAACAAAACAGCACATGCAAAACCGACCATATTAATAACATTAAGTGTGACTTGATTAAACTCAATAAAAAAGGCAGTGTTTGTGGCTGGGGCCATGGCTCAAGTGGTGTAGCACCTATCTTATAAGCACAAGGCCCCAAGTTCAAACCCCAGTACTGCAAGAAAAGAAAAAAGGCAGTGCTTGTCATGAATAAAAAACAAAACAAAACACACATACTCCGACTAACACCATCGAAGGAGACACACTTTATTTTCAAAGACACAAACTGGTTGAAACAAAAGCACGGGGTTGGGGGGGAGGTGGCACAAACAATGTATGCACATGTAAGTAAATGTAAAAAGGATAAAATAAAAGGAGAAAGAAAAAAAATAAAACCTAAAAAAAAAAAAGAAAAGCACAGAAAAATGCACACCATGAAAACAACAACCGCAAAATAGATAAAATGGCTTCTACTACTATCAGACAAACAGACTTTTATCATCACGATAAAAGGTCAAGCCACTGGGAACACATGATGATTACCAACATGTACACTGTACAAACACAGCCTAAAACACACGAAGAGAAGCCTGACAGAGGTGAGATGAGGAGCCTGAGTCAGGGTGTGGCTCACAGTAGAGCAATCATTTAGCACAAGCAAGGCGCAGCTTATGCTCCCAGCACGAATGAGAGTTGGAGATTCTGATACCTTCTATTTTGAGTCAGCTGACTTGAGAGCAATCAACAAAGAAACACAAAACTTAGGAAGCACTGTAAGCCAAGTAGACCTAACAGACGTCCCTGGGGCATTCATTCCACTGACACCTGCAGAACACACACATCCTTGCCCAGAAAACACGTATCAATACATTTAAGAGGACTCAACTAATCCAAAGTACATTCTTGACCATGACAGAATTAAACTAAAATCAAAAGAAGGTAATTTGAAAAATCCACCAATATGTAGAAATTAAACCGTATACTCTTTAGTAATTAATGCACCAAAGAAATCAGAAAATAATATGAGAGGAATAAAAATGAAAACATAACATACTAAAACTTAAGCAGTGCCAAGAGGGAAATTTATGTTGTGTCTATCTTTTAAAAAGCAACGTCAAATGTCAAATTAATAACCTAAACTTTTATCTTAAAAATGAGAAAAGTGCAAAGTAAGCATAAGAAGGGGAATAAACAGAGGGTGAGTATGATCAAAATGCATTGTGTGCGTGTCTAGAGAGGTCATGAGGAAACCCCTTACTGGGTGTTAGGGTTAGGCTCAGGGATAAAATTAAAAAAAAAAATGAAACCCTTAGAATGCACAATTTATGCCAAGTAAGAAAAAAAAGAAAGGATATAACAAAAAGGAGAAATGAAATAGAGGGTTAAAAAAGAGAAAAGTTAATAAAACCAGAAAAATTTTAAAGGTTCAAAACATTTGACAAAATGTCTGGAGGAGTGGGAGAGAGAGAGAGAGGTCTCATATTACTAAAATCAGAAATTGGTATCATTACCAATCTTACAGAAATAAAAGGATTATTTTTTAAAAAACACAATGAATAACTGTTGCCAACAAATAATTTAGATAAAGTGAAGCAATTCCTAGAAAGACAGATGCTACTAAAACTGACTCAAAAAGAAATAGAAAACCTGAGTGAAGCTACAGGAAGTATAGATATCAGTAAATTTTAAAAACTTCTCTCCCCACCAAAAAATCCCAGGCCAGATAGCTTCACTGGTGAGCTCTGCTCAACAGTTAAAGAATTAATCCAAATATCTATAAACAGGGAACATTTCCCAGCATGCTCCAGTATGAGGCCAGTGCTACCAGGATACCAAAACCAAAAACACTGCACAAAAACTTGAGACCAGGACTCTTTATGTGTGCTGGAGGCATGGCTCAAGCAGTAGAGTGCCGCCTGCCTAGCAAGCATGAGGCCCTGAGTTCAAACACCAGTGAGACAGAAAAAAAAAAAAAAAAAAGAAAAACAAGAATTGAGTTGGTGAACTCACATTTTTCCAATTTCAAAGCTTACCACAAAGCTATAGCAAGCAAAAACAGTGTGGTACAGCATAAGGATAAGCATATAGACCAATGCAATAGAACTGAAAGTCCAGAAAAAAAATACATTTATGGTCCACTGATTTTCAACAAGGTGCTGAGACAATTCAGTGGAAATAATGTTTTCAGCAAATAGGGCCAGAACAACGGGATAGCTCCATTAAAGTAATAAATTTGGACCCCACCTCATGTAGTATATAAAAGGTAACTGAAAACTGACTAAAGACCCGAATTTAGAATCAAGCTTATAGCTGGGCACTGATGTTCACATCTGCAATCATAGCTATTTGGGAGACTGAGATCTTGGTTTGAAGCCAGCTGGTTCGACTATTCAGTCTGTAAGACCCCATGTCCAAAATAACCAGAATAAAGTGGACTGGAGGTGTGCTCAAGTGGTAGAGCCCCTGCTTTGTAATTGAGAAGCCCTGAGTTCAGACTCCAGTCCCACCAAAAAAAAAAAAAAAAAAGAATAAAACTCTCACAAGATAATAGGAGCAATTTCATGACTTTATGTCAGGCAACATTTCACATTCAACATCAAAAGCACAAATAACTAAAGAAAGAATAACTTGAACTTCATCCATTTTTGTAAGAAGATATAGGAATAGCCAATAAGGACATGGAAAAGTGCTGCACATCATTAGGGAAACGTGAATCAAAACTTCAGTGAGGTACCACCATACATCTACAAGGATGGTGAGAACAAAACACACGGTCCAGGACCGAGGCGGGGGTTCAGGTGGTGGAGGCTTGCCTAGAAAGTGAGGTTCAATGCCCAGTACCAGGAAACAACAAATCAAACCACAACAGCCCATAACAAGTGTGGGCAAGGATGCGGAGGCATTGGAACTGTCCTACACTGCTAGTGGAAACCCAAAATGGCACAAACATTTTGCAAAACAGCTTGGCGGCTCCCTCAAACAGTTAAACTGTTACCATATGACCCAGAATTTCACTCTAGGTACCCAAGAGAAATAGGAATATGCGCCCTCAAAAAAAAGGCGTATGCAGTGCTCATCGCAGCGTTATTCATGACAGCCAAAAGGGAGAAGACCTGTATGCCAATAAACTGATGAACAAACAAAATGCAGTCTATCTGTCCAATGGCATATTATTCAACCATAAAATGAATGACGAACCCAAAACGCATCATACTAAATAAGCTAGACACAAAAGGCCACATACAGTGTACGATTCCACTTAAATGAAATGTCTAGAGTAGTCACTGTGCTCATTAGGCAGGGGCTCTACCACTTGAACCATGCCCTCAGCCCTCTTTCTGTGTGGAAAACTCTCAGCATCTGATGTGCTAGTCCCAGTTGGACCTAAGGAATTTGTGAGTAACACTGAGATCCAAACAGCTAGGGCTAGAGAGAACTGCTAGACCAGATGCCACAGGGGGAGTATCTATGGCCAAGGAGAGTTTCCCTGCCTGATGACTCACCAAGCCCAGAGCTGAGGAGCTGGTGGGGCCCTGCTTGGGACGCTGAACAGAGCGTGTTGAAATAGAGCCCAGAGCCATCCCGAATGGGGCTGAGCATGGGTGGAGGAGTGTAGGGGGAGCACTGGAACAAGCCCTTCAGGAGGTGGTCCACCAAGAGCACGGGGGAGCGGAGGCAGCTCTGGTGGCAGCCTGTCCCAGGGCCCGGCTCTGACAAGGAGGAGGGTGGTGGAGGCATGAACAGCGCCTTGGGCTGTGGGCGCTTCTTCCGCTTTCTCTGCTGGCTGCTGTCCTTGATGTCTCTCTCTTCCCCATCTCTCTCTTGTCCCTGGTGAAGGAGAGTCCAGACCCACAGGGGTCACTGGATGCCACCTGCCACACCACTCAGTCTTCAGGGTGGCACAGAGTGGACAGAGGGGACTGGCCATGGAGATGGAGGGAAATCCATGGCCACTTAGAATGGCCACACGGGGGCCTTCAGCCCAGGAGAGAAAGCAGGGCCTTCTCTGTATTGCCTGGCCACACTGGAGCCGGAGCTGGGTTCTAAGCCTCATGATGTCCCGAGGCTGCAGCCTTCTCATGCTCCTGTTTGGAGGTGTGTGGGGGTAGTTGCAGTGGAGGCCAGTGATGATGCATGGTGGTGTGACAAAATCCTTTGATCCCAACAGTGAGACTCGTCACTGATTGAGGGGACCCTGAGTGCATCAGAGCTTGTCCAGTGTGGTTTTCCAGCTTGGGCAGAAGAGACAAGCCATGTGACCAGTCACGTGACCTCACAGTGCTCCCTATCACTGTCTGGCTCAGGTCAGTCTCTTCCACAGGGCTGGGAGCCCCAGGAAGCAGGGCTGGGCTATCATACTCACCCCTGGGCCCAGCACTGCCCAGCACTGGGCTGACACAGGACTCAGTGAGTGCTGAATGACTGAATGAAAGTGTAAACCAATGCCTCTAGAGTCCTGTTTTCCTGGTGCGTTTGGGGTGGGTTTTCCCATAGCCTCTACCAACAGGTGGAGAAAGCAGCAGGAGGAGGCAGATAAGCACCCACCTTAGCTATGCCTCCCAGAGAGCGGGTGACTGGAGCTATGGGGACTGACACAGGGATCACCAAGGGGGCTGCAGCCATGCTGTCCAAGGGCTTCCTGGCTCCGGGAGGACTCTGCCCATCCCCATCTGGCCTCAGGACTTGTTTTGGTGGTTTGCAAAACTCTGTGCCAAATACCTAAACATGGAGAGATGATGGCTTTTTAAGGAGAAAGAGCAGGTTGGGGACAGAGGAGCTGTTCCTCAGGACAACCAGAATAGCTGCTGTAGAATTCTAAGGTGGGAGGCTGAGGAGCTGTTGCAATCCTACACAGCAATCAGTAGCCCACCAAGGGCAGCCCAGCCTGCCAGACCTTCCCCACTCCCCAACAAGATGCTGCCTTCAACCTGAGATAAATGCCACTGTCATCTGTTCCCCAAAGCCTGCAACTCCTGAAGCCACTGTTCAGGCCCCTTTACCTGCTGCTCCTGCTTCCCACGAGGTGAGGGCCACTGGTCGCTGTGGAAACACATGTGGCTGCTCAGCCCCTTTTCGGTGTAGAACATCTGGCTGCAGTTCTTGCAGACGTAAGTGCTCCTTGGCTCTGTCCAGTCTGCAGGACTGCCATTTGGCTGGTTACTGGGGGTAGACAAGGCAGGAGGGAGAACAGGAGAATGAGATTCTGTCTCTGACCACTGGTTTGTCCTGCTTTTAACTCATCTTCACTGACAACTCTTGATAAATGCTCAAATATGAAGGCCATACCCATGTACAGGGCTGAAGTATCCTCTTCAGTATTGAAGGCTTGCAGCTCACTCCCCCAGGACCGCACAGAAAAGCTACCTAGGACCCTGTGTGAGGGCACTGCTGGGATGGGGTGGGAGGACTCACTAACTTACCATCCACCTGCCATGTTCTCCTCCTTCATTGGATGGGGGAGCCTGTAGATGTTCCCACCCTGAAGATGAAAACATGTCTGAGCCAACACAGCAGAAGCAAGAAGGCACAGAAGACTTGTTAGAGGACAACTCAGAGAGAGTCTAGGTGGCGGTGGATTAGACAATGGTTTCTTAGGTTCAACACCAGAGCAAAACAAGAGACCAAACAAGACTTCATTGAAATTGAACACTTTTGTCCTGCAAACACTACAGCAGATACAATGAAAAAACAGCTTACAAAATGGGAGAGAATATCTATGAGTCATGTGTCTGATAAAAGGGCTTGCTTTCAAAATGTGTAAAGAACTCTTCCAACTTCAATGACAACAACACAGTAATTCAGTTGTGAAAATGAGCAAAGGATCCGAACAGCTATTTCTTCCATGAAGATGCACAAATGGCTAAGAAGCATATGCCAGGATGCTCAGCAAGGTTAGCCATAAAGAAAATGCAAATCAACACCATAATGAGAGAGCACACCTGTAATTCCAGGACTTGGGAAGCGGAGCAGGGGGACTGTGAGTTCAAGGCTGGCCTGGTTACATACCAAGACCCTTTCTCAAAAACACAAAATTAAGTCATTCTTGTTCTCCCTCTAGAGATGACCCACGTACGGTCTACTCAAAGTGTAATCCTTTCCTAACAAACTTTACTATTGTTTTCACTATAAAACAACAAAATGATACAAAACAAAAACCCCATCATGAGGAATCACACGCACTAGGAAGACTACAGTAATAAAAAAGAACAGGACCAAGTGCTGGGGAGGTCGTGCAGAATTCAGACTCCTCGCAGCTCAGAGGGAGGCGTAACATGGTACCACTACTTTGGAAAGGAGTCTGGCAGTTTCTCAAATTAAACTGAGTTTCTATATGGCCCAGTAATTCTGCTTGCTAGAAATGAAAACATGAATCCACACACAAAGTTGTACACAAATGTTTATGGCAGCTTGTTCACAGAGCCAAAGAGCAGAAGCAGTCCACCAATGAACAGCCAGATAAAAGCTGGTCTATTCATCCACTGGAATATTGCTCAGCCATAAACATGAACGAAGCCCTGACACACATGCTGTAGCATGCATGAGCCATGAATACAAGCTGAGTGAGGAAGCCAGACACAACAGGCCACATGGCGTGATGCCACTTACATGAAATGCTCATTGTTGGCAAATCCACAGGACTTGAGGCATGGAGAGATGTGGGGATGATAAGGCTGGGGTAGTAATTAAAGGATACAGGATTTCTTTTGGAGGTAGAGAAATTGTTCTGACAATTAGTGGTGATGGCTGCACAATCTGGTGAATATACTAAAGCCTACCAAACTGCACATTTTGAAACGGTTAACAATATAGTATTTGGATAATAAATCTGTTAAAAAAAAAAAAACAGAGGTAGCTGTGGGATGATGGGAAGGATGCTGGTGCTACAGGGAAGTTGCTAAGCTCTCAGAGCCTGTTTTCTGGCCACCGTGCATGGAAGACCTAGGCTAATGGTCATGGGTGAGGGACACAGCAGGTCCCTCTTGGATGTGTGTGAACCGAGACACAATATCAGAAAACTTAAGGCTGTTTCATGCAGAAATTAAGGGGGGGATGGGGTGTGTGTGTGTGTGGGGGGTGTCACTACCTTTATATCCTCTGAAGAACTTAAACCCAGAATGAAATGGCAGGCAACAAGGCAAAAAAAGTTCATGAAATAACTATGTGACAAAGTCCTCTGCACCAACTGCATGATCCTCAAGCTGGTCTTTTTGCTTTATTTTGGTTTTGGGGGTGGGGGAGGAAGAGAACCACGTCTAGGAACCTTAACCTTCCATGTAAGGATTCCCTAAGATGAACTAAAAGGCCTGGACACCTAACAAATGCTACAACAAAAACCCAAGGAAACTCTCCCAAGCTTGGTTCAGGCCACATGACAGAGGGCCTTGGTACCTGGATTCTGTTGAATATTGTCAGCTTGGACTTCATGTCTCGAGCAGGATCTGTTGGAGGCCCAGTGGATGAGAAGGAGGCCATGGCCACTTGGCTGGGAGAAGCTGCGCAGCACACATCCATCTTCACCTTGTCTTTCCGGAAGCCAGAAAACCGCTGGGCCCTGGGGTTGCTGGACAAGAGCCTGTAGCCTGTACCACGGGGACAGGCCGGGCCCTTGTCACCTCTCGTGGCCCCTGAAGCTGTGGCAGTGCCACTCTCGGCCTGGGCCTGTTTTCCAGACAGCTGGGCTCCCAGAGGCTCCTCTCCCCCTAACTGGGACTGCCATGCACCGGCAGCAGGGAAGACGTCCCCCAGGTCCAAGGCACCTTTGGAAGACCGTAAGTGCTTGGCTAGAGAAGTGACGTCTGGATTCCGGGCAAGGTCCAGAGGCGCTGAGAGGGATGGTGAAGCAGAGGCCACTTTGGGGCCGCCCTTTGCGTCTCGCTTGGTACCCCCTGGGGAGGCCTCTCTGGACACTGCCGGTGTGTTTTTCCTCCTGCGGGCTGGGGACCCCTCGGGCTCTGGATGTCCAGGGACCCCCTGGAGAGAGTCCACAGCGGGCAGAGGCTGCGGCGGCCATGGCCCCTGTAGCGACTTAAGGGCGGCTTGGCGGCCCTCGCTGGGGCGCTGGGAAAAGAGCCGTTGCGAGGCGGTGAGCATGTGGAGCACCTGCACCTGCTCGTGGCTCACCAGGGGCTCCTGCGACTTGAGGAAGAGCTGCCGGAAGAGCGGTGTGGCGTCGGTGGGGGGTCCGCCCGGGCTTTGCACGTCCTGGGGCCCGGGCTCCCCGGGGCTCGGCCACGAGATCGACTCGCCATCCAGCTTGCTCCTCCTGGAAGCCCAGCCGTCATCCTCCGCCTCGCCGGATGCCTTGGGGAAGGGTGGCAGGTCCTCTGCGCCGGAACCTGGGCCAGGCGAGGGCTCCAGCGCGGCCGGGGCGCTGGGCTCGCAGGCGGGCTCAGAGGCGTCGCGGGCCGGGAGGGCCGGCTTGTGCACCACCAGCACGCTGCTACCCTTGCTCTTGGGGCAGCCCGGCAGGCTCCGCAGCCACTGCAGGTGGCTGGCCTGGGAGCCGGTGGCCGGGCCGCGGAAGAGCGGCAGGCAAGCGGGCAGGGCGCCGGCCTCGGGCCAGCCCTCCAGGGAGGACGGCAGCGGGGGCTCGGGCTCCGGGGCGTCGGGGTTGCCGTTCTCGGCAGCCTGGGATGGCCCTGCCCGCGCGTCACCAGCCGCTTCCTTCCGCGGGGGGAGAGGCTCCTCTGGCGCCTCGGTGCCGGAGGCTTCTGCTGGGGTGCTGGCAGCCGGGGTGCCACAAGACCCCGACGACGTGGGGCAGGCACAGGCCCGCCCTTCGCCGTCAAAAGGCCCTGCCAGGGCTGGGCCTGGAGAAGGGATCTTCTGGTGGACGATGCTGCTCACGATGCAGCGCAGGAGGTCACGGTTGGGCAAGACAGCGCTGGGGGACCTAGCTTCAGGGGGACCAGGGGGCCGCAGGCTGGAGGGCGGCGGGTCGCCTGCGTGGGGGGCGTCCCCGTAGGCCTCCTCCTCCGGCGGGGCCTCCCTCAGGATGCACAGGCCGTGCTGCACCTCATAGTGGCGGCGCAGAGAGCGGTAGTCGCAGTAGCTCTTGCTGCATCCCTGCTCGATGCACACGAAAGGCTTGGTCTTCTGGTGGGTGAGCATGTGCCCCGTCCTGCAGTCAGACACGGGGACGGTCAAAGGGGCCTCTGCTGGGGGACCGCAGTGCACAACCCCCCATCCCCCAACCCAAGACTGCTGGGCTCTGTGCAAGCCACATAGAAGGGAGCAGTTCAGCTGCCCTGGCCTCTAACAAACATTTATCTGCAAAAAAAAAAAAAAAAAAAAATCCAGAGAACCCCAAACTAGGTTCTGACTCGGGCACAAAGGCAACTTTAGAAAAAAAACAAAGCTTCACTAGGTTCACAACAGTAGCAAATTTAAGAGAGAGAAAGAGATGGGGAGAGAGAGACAGCACACTATATTCCTGCATAGCCTTTGTGGTTCAAATAGCCTTATGAGGAGCTCTGCAGAACACATCTGAGATGCCAACTTGAAGATACTACAGGACTGTGTCCAAACCAATTGACAGATGCCCAATTACTAAAAACAACAGGGAATGTGCCTAGCCTGTCACCACCAGGGTCCTGACACTTCTCTGCACAATCCTAGTGCACATGGCCTCCCAAAAGGGTGCCCTTTGCCTGCTTCTGCCAGAAGCAACAGACAGGCATCAGAAGACCCAGGTTCTAGCCCTGACTGCTACCCTCATGTAAGTGAGCAAATTACTTTCTTTCCCCAAGGTGGGGCTGGAACACAGGGTAGAGAGAAAAGTAGACTGTCACAGCCCTCTGCACTGTGAATGTTCAAGGCCTTCTCTCCCACTTGCAGGCCTCTTGCCTTAAAAACAGTCTGTCTTTCCCTCCCAGGCAAGAAAAGCTTATCAGCACTCCCAAGACTTAAATACAAAGGCAATTTTGCCCCTAACTCTTAAGTTGGACTTTCTTTTTCTTTTTTTTCTTTCTTTCTTTTTTTTTCTTTGGCAGTACTCAGGCTTGAACTCAGGGAATATACCTCGAACCGCTCTACCAGCTCCCCCCCCCCTTTTTTTTTTTTCCGTGAAGGTTTTTTTCAAGATAGGGTCTTGTGAACTATTTGCCCAGGCTGGCGTCAAACCGTGATCCTTCTGATCTCTGTCTCCTGAGCAGCTAGGATTACAGGTGTGAGCCACTGGTGCCCAGTAAGTTGGACTAACTTTATAAAATCAGTATTTTTTAAAAGACAGGAGTTAACTCTTAAGTTGGACTCCCATTTTACTTTTATATATATTTATTTGTAATTTATTTATTTTTTTAGTGTTACTGGGGTTTGAACACAAGGCCTTGTATTTGCTAGGTAGGAGCTCTACCACTTAAGCCATACCCTCTGGACTTTCTTCATAAAATCAGGATTTTGTTTAAATCAAGAGTTAAGCATTTTAAAACAAGGTTAATGTCCATTGGCCATGTTCTGGGAACAGGCACTTCAGAATCATGTGTGTGCTACATTGTCCCAATACATTTTCCTCGTGGAACACAGATGCTTTGTCCTCAGATGCCTACCAGGGACTGGCACATCTCTCTACTAAGTTAGCCAGACTCCATGACACAATGCATTGGGAGCCAACCATCACAGGTTTCTAAATCACAAGGGTCCCATCTGTGAATCGAGGCAGTGACTTCCTCATTGATGTGAATTTGGGGGCTCAGAAAAGCGACTTGTCTGGGACACAGCCATATCTGTCCCAGGAAGCTGGCAGTGTGAGGGATGGTGTTGACACCTGGCACAGGGAACACACACATCTGGGGAGTAAGGCGGGACACCAGCACCCCCACCCCACATATACACAGTGGTTCCTGCCCCAATTGCTACATACAGGTGATCCTGGCGCTTAAAGGCCTTGCTGCAAACTTTGCACACGTGCTTCCTCTCCTGGCTGTGTGTCAGGTAGTGCTTGCTAAGGGAGCTGGCGCTGCTGAACACCTTCCCACACAGGCTGCAGTCTAGGAGTGGGTTCTGAGGCGAACTGTGCTGCCGCTTGCCTTTCCTTGCACTCCCTGAGGTGGCCCTGCCACCTTCATCAGCCTCTTTAGGCACCTTCAGTGCACCCAGGCCCAGTTCTAAACAGAAGGAGAAAGCACAGGTTATTCACAAGTGGGGAACCTGAGTGCACCGCTGACCCACTCTACAATTCTCAGCTGTGGAGGCCTTTCGAGGGTCAACCAAGATCACTCTGCTTTGTTGGTGGTTTACTACTGTGATCTTACCTACGTGGGAGGCTAAGATTGAAAGGATCAAGGTTTAAGGCCAGCCCAAGCCTTCATAAGATTTCCATCCCCCACCCCACTCCCAAATAACCAGAACAAAATGGACTGGTGGTGTGGGTCAAGCGGTAGAGCACCTGCTGAGCACCTGTTGAACTCAAGTACAAAGTCCTGAGTTCAAACTTGATCCCACCCCCCACCAAAAAAAAAAAAAAAAGCCATAGGAATGGCTTTTAAAAAAAAGACTCAGTCAAACTTTAGCAGCCAGCTTTGTATATGCAGGAAACAGGCTCAAGAGCACAAGCAGGAACTGGAGCATTGGTCAGGCCACACCTGTAGGACTGTGCCTGGTTTTGGGGCGACATGTGGAGGGATGGTGGCAGCATGGCAAGACAGACATGAGGCCTACATCATCATCCGGTTCTCTCAGAAGGCCAATCTGCAGATACACTGTCCCAACCATGGAAAAGCAAGTCATTGCATTCACCCGGTCAGTTCTGCTTTGGGCTTCTTGACCTCAAATGTAGTTTTCTACATAGATCTTGTTGCAAGGGAGTTAACTATCCCATTGCTTTTCCTGATAAAACATTTGAAACAACTTGACACCTGAAAATAACGCACCAGCGTGCCTCACACCTAATCCTAGCTTCTCAGGAGGCAGAGATCAGGAGGACCAAGGTTTGAAGCCAGTCTGGGCAAACAGTTTGAGAGATCCTATCTTGGAAATACCCAACACAAAAAAGGACTAGTGGAGTGGCTCAAGGTGTAGGCTCTGAGTTTAAATCCCAGTACCATTAAAAAAAAAAAAAGAAGAAAAAAAGGCACCAATGTGACTGCATTGTGGGTTTTTTGATATTTTTTCCAGTGCTGGGGATGGAACCAGGACCTCCAGCATGCTTGGCAGCTCTATCACTTGAGCCAAACACCCAGCCCTTTTGTTTGTTTTTTGAGCTTAACTGCCTTGGCTGACCTTGAATTTGAGATCCTCCTACCTCTGCCTCCTGAGTATCTGGAACGGTGGGTGTACACCACCATGCCTGGCTTGCATTAGAGTTTAAATGGCCCAAGCTTTTTAAATAAAACTGTAGAAAAATATCAGATGACATGAAAGGATGTTCGGGACTTACTACCGAAAAGAACGACCTAGTACAAAACAGAATGAACCCAGTTGTTAAAAAGAAATGAGAGTGCAAAACACTCACAGAACAATGGGTCAGGTTTACTTTCCTCTTTTTGTGTGTGTGAATTTCCCACCTTTTCTGTATTCCTTGGGGAAGAGGCAAAGGCATTCTTACAAATTGTACTGGTGAAGAACAGCTGCGGGAACTGGGGACACTTGATAATAGAGGGAAGTGTCTTCATTGCTGGAAAGGCCAGCGTGTGGAGGAAGAAGCTTGCTTCTGTGTCATTCCAAGGGACAGAGTGAGGTTAGGGGAATGAAGCGTCCAGGAAGCTGATTTAAATCACTAGAAACATCCAGGCCACGGACATAGGGACTCTGCAGCTCACTGCTGGGCGCTCAGGCCCTGGAGGTTCCATTCAGGCATGAAGTGGCACTCAATAAATGTGTGTTAGATGAATGAATCATGGAAGACTTTCTATCCCCTAGACTGGTCTACAAGATGGTCAAACTCATGAGGTGGCAAGTGTAACAACAACCATATATCTGGGATGTCACAGAGATAGGCCCCAAGAATCCCATGGGCCAGAGCATGGGAGCAGGCCAGTGAGGGATGCTACACTAACAGATCCAAAACCACTGACTGTGAGTGACAGAAGTAGAGGAAATGAAACAAGACTTACTTGAAACCAGGTCACTTGATGCTTGGCTTGCCTGACCTTCATCTTCTTCATACAAGAAATGACTGTGGTGAGTAGCTGAGTAAGTTAAACTTAAACAAGAAAAAATGGACTCCTGGATCCAGTCCCCAGCCTTACTGAGTTACTTCCACATGCCTCAAAGCAACTGCTCAGCTAGAAAGCAAAGCCATAAAGATGTAGCAAGGACACTGAGAAACAGGCAGATAGATGGTCAATGACTGGGCAGCCACTTGATCTTTCTGGAAATCAGTGTCAGGAAGGCCTAAAGGTGGTTAGATGCTCAATCTGCAGAAAAGCAGTGTGCTTGAGAAACTAATCCAAAGAAAATTTAATGCAATCACACTCCGCCAGTCAATGGAATGCTAGTCCCATGACAACTGGATGGTCTACCTTCACATGTGAAGGCAGATCCAGTACATTTGTAAAAGTTATTCAAATAGAATAAATGAATGATTTTATTATTTCGAAGTGCTGGGATAGAACCCAGGGTTGTGTGCGTGGTAGGCAAGCATTCCACCTGTCAGCTGCATTCCCAGCCCAGCACACTTAATATGAAGCCTAGAAAACTATGTTCACCTGCACACATGAGCCATGTGTTTAAAGGGTTTATGTGTGGGAGCCAGGGTGGAGAGTTTCCTTGCTTATTCATTTTTTAAGTTTTCTCTAAGAAATATATATTACTTTTCTAATTAAAATAATTAATGATAGCTGGGCATGGTGGTACATGCCTGTAGTCCCAGCTGAAGGAGACTGAAGCAAAAGGAGTGTTTGAGCCCAGGAGTTCAAGGCTAGCCTAGGCAACACAGCAAAACCTTACCTCAGGAAGGGAGAGAGGAAGGAATGAAATTAACATAAGCCTATACATGTACATGGAACTACATTTAGGTGAAGAGAAGTGTGTAAAGTTGAAATTTAACATTCAGAGGGTTCATTTTCCTGTAAGGTTAAAGATGCAAGTGGAAACAAATTAGGAAAGCTGAGCTAGATCAATGACTTGTACCAAGACCTGTGACAGCTGAGCATGGTATTACCCACCTAGAATCACAGCTACTTGGGAAGCAGAGGCCAACCTCAGGCATGAGACACTACTAAAAACAAACTAAAACCAGCCAGGTGCCAGTGGCTCATGCCTGTAATCCTAGCTGCTTGGGAGGCTGAGATCGGGAAGATTGAGGTTTGAGGGCAGCCTGGGCAGTTTTTTGAGAACCCATTCCAAACAACCAGAGCAAAATGGACTACAGGTGTGGCTCAAGTGGTAGAGCACCTGCTTTGCAAGCATGAAGCCCTGAGTTAAAACTCCAGTCCCACAGACAAATAAATAAATAAATAAACCAAAAAATAAAGCAAAAAGGACTGGGGTCATGGCTCAAGTGGTAGAGCACCTACCTAATAAGAGTAGGCCCTGACTTCAACCTGCAGCACTGCCAAAAAGAAAAGACAAGTTCCAGTTTCTCTATCTAGCAAGGCATGCACATATTCACACTGTTAGCATCTCTGGGTAACTTCTATGGGCTGGTCTGAGAGCCTCAATGGCTGCCCCGGGCCTGCGCCTGCAGCCCTGCTGATGTCTCCGAAGCCTCACACTTGGCTATCCTTTATATATCTATGACATTGCCCGTGGAGTGCAGGCCCTCAGAAAAGAAAGAAAAAACAGACACCCCCCCCACACACACACACATACCTGTCTTCTGCCCAGTGCCTCAGGGTCTATAAAGTGCTCCTAAAGGCCATTTCTCTTGCCTCTTACTTCTGCTACTCTGGGAGGCTCAGGGCCAGTGCCACCCCCACTTTATGGACAGAGACAGCAAAGCCTAGGAAAGCTAACCACCAAGAAGCAGGACGGACAGGACCCCAAACGACTCCTTGAGATAGGATAGATGGCAAAGTCTTGCTGAACACAAGGGTCCGCCCACTTATCAGGCCAAAGATCAGGATAGCTACAAACATCCATGTTTCTCAACATTATTCCCAGGATTAGTGCTTCACCCCCTTTACAAGGAAGATGGAAACAATTCTGAAGCAGGGAAAAGTGACTGTTCTCTGTGTCACTTGTAGAAGAGAGACTTTTCTTAACCAACCCACGCAGATTCATCCCTGGCTGGCTGCAGGAACAGTGAGCAACCCACCAAGCCCTTCCACCGGCCTGACAGACTCACCTTGAAAGGAAGTCTGTGATTCCGAGTCTGCGTACTCCTCCAGCAGCTTCACAGAGTCACCGTCCTTCCCCGAGTACAGGGACAAGGTGTCCAAGTTGTCCTCCAGAACCTCGCTGGGCATGTCAGGTGCTGGGAGACTGGTGTCCAGGTCCAAACCACTCAGGCCAGCATAGAGCAAGTCTCGCGTGCTGGGACCCAGATCCCGGTTGAGGGTGTCACTGCAGTTCAGCCCTTGGCTGTCCGAGAAGGAAGGGAGGTGCATTTCAGATGGAAGGGCACCCTCATCCCCAAGGCTGTACTGGTCCATAGCTCTCTGCTGCCAGGTCTTGGACAAAAGTCACTCTGCAAACAAGCCAGGCTGTATAAGGAGTCGGAGAGTAGACAATAACTGATGGCACTAGTTCCTGAAAACCAACAGGGAGAAATCAGAATCACAGGTGCCACTAGGTCTGTGCTCTGCCACTGAACAGCTATGTGACCTTGGGCAAGTCACATGAGCTTCAGGAGCCTGTTTCCTTATCTATAACGGGGCAAAAGAGTAAGGAATAGATCTAAATATTTCTCACACACAGTGGACTGAATCCTGATCCACCAATAAACACAGGAAATATGTCAAAAGAATTTTCTTTAGCAGTACTGGATATTGAACTCAGAGCCTTGAGATTGGCAGGCAGGTGCTCTACCACTTGAGCCACACCCTCAGCCCTTTTTGCTTTAGTTAGTTTTCAGATAGGCTCTCATGCTTTCTGCCTGGGGCCAGCTTGGGACTGAGATGCTCCTATCTCTGCCTCTTGTGTAGCTGGGAGAGGTGTGCATCACCATGCCTGGCTTGTTCTGAGATACAGTCTTGCTAACTTTTTGTTCAGGCGGTCTTGAACCTCGATCTTCTTACCTCATCCTCTCAAGTAGCTGAGATTACAGGCATCCATCACACCTGGCCTGAAGATAATTTTTAATGGGTAAACAAACTCAAAATACAGTAGGGAAAATCCCAAGTCCCAAAAACAATGAGAAAACTTGAAGCTGGAGGTGTAGGCACAAGCTGGCCAGAGGGGAAAACCAGACCCAGGCGTAGGGCCTACAGCAGTGTTGTCCACCGGGATAGCCAAAGGAACACCTGCAATGTGACTGTCCAAAATGGAGACATGCTATGAGTGCAAATCACAACCTAGACTGGAAAGGTTCAGTTAAAAAAATGTAAATTTAAAAGTTTTTATATAGATTACATGTGGAAATGACAATATTTGAAAGACAGTGGGTTAAATGTGTTACTAAATGTCTTGTTTGTTATTTTTAAGGTGGATTCTAGAAAGTTTTAAATCACATAGGGCTATTATATTTCTATTAATGAATGCTACCCTGGGGGCTGGAACTTGGGGTCATAATAGTCATATGGGAAAAGAAAGCTTTGAGCCTTGGGGTCTTTGAAAATGGAGACCTGGTACTGAAGTGGCATATGTCTGTAATCCCATATGTCTAATCTCCTGCAGGCTGAAGCAGGAGGATTCAAAGTTCAAGGCTAGCCTGGGAAAGGAAAAAAGAGACAGAGAGAGAGAGAGAGAGAGAGAGAGAGAGAGAGAGAGAGAGAGAGAGAGAGAGAGAAAGGAAAGATTAAAAAGAGAAAGAAAGGAAAGAAGGGAGGGAGGGAGGAAGGGACGAAGGAAGGAAGGAAGGAAGGAAGGAAGGAAATGGAGACTTGGACTATTATAGAGCCCACTACCCACAGGAAACTTCATGAAAAGCAAGGCTCTGCTCAGGAAGCTGGAGACCTGGCCAAGAACATGACAACAGGACAAGGAGAGACACAAAGCCCAGCATCAAAAGACACTATGTCAGTAGGCCAGGAATGGACACTTTTAAAAAGGAGCAAAAGGGGCTTCTAGAACCAAAGACACTGGAAGACTCACTGGAAGGGCTGAAGAGCAGATCGAACAGGGCTGGAGAAACAATGAGCAGGAAGAGCAATCTGAGCAAGTCCCCCTAGAATCCAGGACAGAGACACAAAGAGGTGAAAAGAGAAACAAGAAGTTGGCAAATTATTAGTGGAATCTAATTCCACTGACCCAACAGAGTCCAAAGCAAAGAGAATGCAGGAGAGAATCTTCAAAAGACAATGTAACTGCAGAGACAGCAAATCTAGACTTAAACATATATGCTTAATGATGAGCCAGCAGTTCAAGGTCAGGGAGAGGTGAAGATGATCAAAGTACATTTTACACATGTATGGAAATACCACAATGAAGCTCTTTTGTACAATTAATACATGCTAATTACAAAAAGAAGAAATGGATTCACTCTAACACACAGTAGCAGAACTGCAGAACATTCAGCGAAAAGCAAACCCTAGGACCTACTGGAAAGGGTTGGTTCCAAAAGATGTCAGCAGCAGAGGAAGGGTAAGCACGAGTCACACAGGCCCAGCACCCAGGCAAAATGTGGTCACGAGCCAGGGAACTGCATTGACTTTACCTCAGAGACCCTGACTCAAAACACTACAGCACTGGAATCATTTAAAGAAAGAAGGGCTGGGCACCAGTGGCTTACGCCTATAATCCTAACTAATCAGGAGGCAGAGATCAGGAGAATTGCAGTTTGAAGCCAGCCTGGGCAAATAGTTCATGAGACCCTATCTTGAAAAACCCTTCACAAAAACAGGGCTGGTGGAGTGGCTCAAGGTGTAGACCCCAAGTTCAAGCTCCAGTACTGAAACAAAAAAGAAGAAAGAGGGGCTTGGGGTGCTCTCAACAGTACAGCGAAAGAGATGATTAATTGCACATCTTATGTCTGCACACTAAAACGAGAAAGAAAGCAAACTACCTAACATCTAAACTAGTAAAATTAATCAAAAAATGGGGAAGGGGAGCAGGATTTGTCATAAGATACCGCAGGGAAAAAAGACAGAAAATACACAAATTACTACCATTAAGAATTAAAGAGGAAGAGTGGGGTGTAGCTCCGTGGGTAGAGCACTTGCCTAGCAAGTGTGACATCCTGGGTTCGGTTAGGGTGAACACAGGGCAACCAGGTTAGGACTGGACTCCCTTTCCCCTCATGGGTGGCTTCCTGGAAACTCTCTACCCAGGCCTAAGAATAACAGATATTCACTTTTAGCTATTTACTAGAAACTTCCCACCCCTGGAAGAACGACAAACACCCACCCTTCAGCCATTATCTAGGGAGGGTGAGAGGGCTGACTGAGGATTTTCTTGCCCAGAGACCTTCCTAGGACTTCCACTAACTTCCTATAACTACCCCAGTTTGTAATGGACAGTAGGCTCTAGCTCTCTTGCTGGAGACCCCCTTCGCAGGTTTCTTTTCCCAAATAAAACCTGTGCTGACATTGAGCTGTCTCTCGCCTATCCTTCCATGCCTCTTTTCAGTCTAACCACTGCAGAAAAAGGAATTAAAAGGGATACCACTAAAATGACCTTACAAAACTAACGGACTGTAAGGGACTGCTATGAACAAATGTATTTAGATAATATATTAAATTAGGTATCAGATAATTAGTGAACTCAGTTATCTAACTTAAATACAACAAATTGGTAACTTAGATAAAAATGGGCAAATTTGTAGAAATATACAAATTACCAAAAACTGACTCAAAAATAATGAGAATATTTAAATATACCAGTTAGAAATAAAAAGATGCAAATAAAAACAACATTGAGATTCTATCTCACCCCAGTCAGAATGGCTGTCATCAAGAAAACAGCAAATGCTGACAAGGATGTGGGGACAAAGAACCCTTATGCACTGTTGTGTGCAGTTCCAATGGCAATCTGTATGGAGGTTCTTCAAAAAACTAAAAATATACAGCTGGAAGCGTGGCTTAAGCAGTGGAGCACCTGCCTAGCAAGCTCAGGCCCTAAATTCAAACTCCAGTACTGCCAAAGGAAAAAAAAAATCTTAAAATAGAACTAACTTATGACCCTGGTATACCTCTCCTGGGCATGTATGTGAAAGAATGTTAAGTTAGTATACAATACAGACACCCCACACCCATATTTATAGCTGCATTATTCACAATAGCCAAGTGTGGAATCAGCCCAGATGCCCAACAACCAATGAATGGATAAAGAAAATGTGGTGTATATGCACAATGGAGTATTATTCAGCCATAAAGAAGGAAGAAATTATGTCATCTGCAGGAAAATGGATGGAACTGGAGATCATCATGTTAAGTGAAACAAGGCAGACTCAGAAAAATAATGAATTGTTCTCTTACATGCAGAATCTTGACCTAAAAAAATGAATGACAGGAATGTAAAGCAGGGATTGTTTGGGGGTGGGTACCAGCGGGAGGTGAAGGGCAAAAGGCACAGGTGAAGGGGGAGTATTTTGTATCCTAGATTATTTTTAAAAGGGGAGGAGGGGCAAGAAAGAATAGAGGACGTGAATTTGATCAAAGTATAGCACATGTATATCACAATGAATATATGCTAATAAAAAACAAATTTGAAAATACAAATAAAAAGTAGGTTGTGCAGTGGTGTATGCCTCTAGTTCCAATACACTGGAGGCTGAGGTCAGAGAATCCCTTGAGTTCAGGAGTTCAAGACCACCCTGGGCAACATAGTGAGACAAAGGAAAGGAAAAAAAGGGAAACAAAAAAAGATTGAATTAGTAATTTTAAAACCTCCCACATTCCACCATAGAAACAACAACAAAAATTAAGTTTATCAAAATTCTGAGGAAGTCAAAGGTTTACAGCCACCTCATGGAGAGAGAGAGAGAAGGCTTGAACCACCCCGACCCCATCCCGAAGTCCAGGTGTCTGGTACAGCACTGGTGCTGGAATGAACAGAGGACTTTGTTCTCATAGAACGGTGGCTGTCAGGGGCTCCCTGAAAGTCTAAGGCAAACATTTTTGCCCTTATTTTGTGTAACTTGGAACTATCTCAGGGCAGAGACAGGCAGTGGGGAGGCATTTGTTGAAAATATTACAAGCTAACGTGCTGTCCACTGCAGCCTGGGGCAAACAACTGGAAGCCAAAGCCAGGGAGGAAAAGCTGGGGAGGATGCTTCAGAGGACAAGAGCTCTGAAGAGCTTCCACACTGGCCATTCTCACGGAGTTAAGTACAATCTTCTCACACAATCCAGAAATTGCACTCCTAGGAATATTCCCAGCACAGCTGAAAATGTGTGGCCACTCAAAACCTGCATGTAAGAACTGTCTCAAAGTGAAAGCAAAATGGCCCCTCCACAAGCGAATGGACAAATAAACTGTAATATAGCTAGGTGACTGAGTGTTATCCAGCAGTAAAAAAGCAGCATCAAGCCACAGAGACATGTAGGAACCTCACACGTGTGAGTGAAAAAGGCCAGTATGAGAAGACCACATACTGTGTGACTCCAAGTCACACCATGATCTGGAAAAGGCAAAAGTAGAGACCGCTAAAT